TTTACCATCAATGGTCTGTGATATTGACAAAAATGACGAAAATACCCTCTAAATACCATCAAGTTCGCTAAGATTAGTATTATTGTAGTCTACTAGTAATAAATTTTAATATAGGTAATACATAATTGAAAACTGATTTAACATTTATGGCCAAAACTATGCTTTGTTTGCAGGCTTAAAAAACTTGGAACGAAACATTATGAAAATCAACTACACCGAAGTCGGTATGGACTGAAATCATTATTTTTAAATGTAGACTCTGATGAGATTCAAGCTAGGCAGTTGACATTGTATTTCCTAGCCAACGATTAACTAATCACTATTTATGGTAAGCTCAAATATAAATATTAAGAATAACAATTAAATACACTAAAAAGCATTTTTTTTAATTCACATTGCCTTGGTTTAGGTCTAGCAGCTGGCTTATACTTCATAAAAAATTTTAAGGTTCTTTTGTTTGTTATTCGAGGAGCATGTCCAATATGTGGTAAACCTAACAAAGTTGCTAAAGGAAAATTTCAGTAGTAATGGTTTGTTGGAAAATATATGTAGTGTTAAAAATCGTTTCAGGTTACATGATGTTTCTGTGTTTTAATTTAACGGAAAAGAGTCACCAAAGCAATGACAATTGCCCCCTTATTTTTTAACGTTTTCAAAATGCATTTACGCACGAAAGTGGGGGACTCACCGGCGAAGCCAGTACTATACACCCACTCAAACCCAACAAAGCCTTCCCCCCGTCTTAATGGGGCGTCGCAGGATCGACTTAACGCATTCAAGAACTACGACGCCCCTGACGGCAGGTCTGCCGAAGCAGACCCACAACAACCACTCTGCTAACAGAGAAGTACCAGGAGCGAACCTGCATGGGTACACCGCCCTCCGAAGAGGGGCCACCTCCCACCCGCCCCACTACTGAGCCCCCCCACCACGATATAAGGTGAACGCACGTTGGGGGGAATGACAATTTGCCCCTGGCTATTGAGTATCTAAACTGTCATGGGACATTTTTCCACGTAGAATATATAACAAAGTGTGGTAAATATGACGTAATGGCCTCTCTTTCTGACAAAACAGGGCATGAACTGACTGGAACAAGAACATGAAGCGAGAAAGGAAAGCCACGCTTTTACACGCCACTAAGGTGTTGTTAAGTGTCACAAAATAACCTTCCAGCATTTAATTTAAGCAGCACAATCCTTCAGATGAAACATTTTTTCAGGGCGATTGATAGTTATATTATGAATAGCGCAAACATGTAACAGTATTATGCTTTATTTAAAATTAGTTTTTACTACACCATCTCATTATGTCTTTTGTGGTTTTAACAGTCTGATTGTGATTTCGATAAAAGTCAAGCCGTATGAATGTGCGATAGTGCCGGTGTTTGAATGGCAAGCACTATGAGGCGGTTCCGTGTATTGTGTGGAGCGACTCAAACTCCTAACGCGCTCGTACTGCAGCCATGGTCTGAATAATGCCTCGAGAAAGTATGGATGGACTTAGCTAATAGATTATGTTCAGGTAGGTGTCTCTTTCTTTTACAAATAGTCTTGAGATAATATCGTTTCAAGTAAAAAAACAAAAATGTTTTAATCATTGATTGAGAAATATACAAACATACTCGTTCTGCATGATTATGATAATATAGCACTAGAATTTCACACCATTCCTATGCCTTATTTAGATTGTTTATAGTATAATATCAGTGTAAACATTATTTATTAGGATTAAAATTATTTCAGGTTCTCTTAAGAAAACAGGTCTTCGTGACAAATTCGTCCTATTAGGCTATGAAAGCGGTGTTTTAATAGCAATAAAAATGGCAGAAATTCTGGAAGCGCACGGTAAGACTTATGAATATTATTTATATTATAAATTTCTTATGATAAAAATATTTGATTTCATGAATTGAGTGACATTTATTTTCAGGTATACTTGGAACCATTTTTTGTATCGGCGGATCCCCAGATGATATCAAGGCACATTTTCAGCATAAACTAAGCATTTATAAAACTGAAGTAGATCTCCAAAAACGCAATTTTACAGCACACAACAAGTCTTATGATGAAAAGCTGATGAAAGAATTAATAAAAATCTAGAAACTGCTGCGACATGGACGAAAAAGTATTAGCTTGTGCGAGCATAATGAACGAAAACTATTCAACACTCCAGTCAATATGCGAAACAAATCATAGAATCTGCGTACGCAAAAGTGTACCAAGTACTTCAGTACGAGCCAGTGCCGGTCGTGCTTCGTTCAACTATAGTTTGCATTCGTCCTACGACATGTAGAGCACAACTTTACAGAAGTTTTCTGAACACCAGTCGTCGAGTACAATCTAAACACACCGCTCGAGTACATGACGCAAGATTTACGCTGCTCCGCTATCATCAACAGACACATCGGCGATGATATTCTACAACAATTTAATAAGAGGAACTTGTGCGAAATGTATGAAAGCTAGGTGTCGAGTAAGTTATAGATTTTAGTCGTCGCTTGAACCACAATGTCTTCCTTATTATCGATATCGACACGTTATCTTCTTGTTTCATTTGGTGTGTTAGCAATATTTAATCCTCTTATCCTGCTGATTGTACTGCAAGGATCCTTTTTCTTTGGTATCTAGAAACGTTATCACTTCCTTACCTTCTTATTCATAATTTTAGCTAGTTGCCATCTATCAAATAATTTGTAATACCGAGGAATCTTCTTTACATAAGACATATGTAAATATTATTACATATCCATACTAATATTATAAATGTGAAATTTTCTGAGTATGAATGGATGTTTGTAACTCTTTCACTCCAGAATAGCTGAAGATGAAACTTGGCACAGAGATAGATTATAGTCTGGAATAGCACATAGGTACATACTTTATCCCGGAAAAATGTACGGTTCCCGCGGGATAGATTTATTTTGTCTAGGGACGAACCTAAAGCGAAGCGATGTTGAGTCGCTAGTTGGATATATATAGATCGAAACTGCTGTATAGTCGTCAGCAACTTATTTAGTATTTTTTATAACTTTCACAAATGTTTCGACACAAAAGCCTAGTTATTTGTAGATGTTTATGTCATCTGTAGAATAAGCGGCTTATTATAAAGTATGTCTCTTTTAAGAGAATACTATGACAGCGATAAAGTCTATATGACAAAACTGCCATAATTGTTAAATTTAATTTCATACCGAATTAACTGTGCCCTTTCTTTATTTATTTTTTTCTATCTTTCAAAAGATCTGTGCGTGTGTGTCGAATGGAAATAACGGCATAGTGATTTAAGTGTAGAATTGTTAGATACCTATATGTATCAGCTAAAATATATTATTTTTATTTATTTTAATAGGTACTTATATTATTTGTACATTTAATGTGCTGTTTATAGACGATGACTTCTCTTCTCCTGTATGTATGTATGTATGTATGTATGTATGTATGTATGTATGTATGTATGTATATATGTATGTATGTGTGTATGTATGTATGTATGTATGTATGTGTGTGTGTGTGTGTGTGTGTGTGTGTGTGTGTGTGTGTGTGTGTGTGTGTGTGTGTGTGTGTGTGTATGTATTGAGTATTGAGGATATTCAATTGTGTGAAGTTATTACACCGCCTACCATTTCATATTATTTTCTACTACGCCCTAATGCCTGGAAGAAATCGCTTATAGCGATAAGGCCGCCTCCTGTGCATCATCTATTGTTTATTCACTCTTTTTGTATATTCCTTTATGGTGTACAATATCTTTCTATCTTAGAATGCCTTTGAACTAGTAACCCTGTCTGTGCATTAGACGATTGACTCAATATTTTTAATGGTGGAAAAACCGGAAAAGATGGCTTGAAGATAAATAATACATTAAATATATAATAGTTCAGGTGACCAAAACCAAATTCTTAAGTTTTACAAATTAGTATACATTGCAATTTTTGTATTTTTTCCCAAAAATGAGATATTTCCAGCGGTAAAAAATATCCTATATGTTGAACCGGATAACCAGCTATCACCATACCAAATTTCATCAAAATCCCTCCAGTGGTTTTTCCGTGATACAGTAACAGACAGACAGACAAAATTTTTAAAAAACTATAAATTCGGTCTTTGTATCCATAATAATGTCTATTTCAATAAGATTTTCCAAAAAAATATCTAATGTAAAGATTCGGATTAGTTACAATTTTTATTATATGTATAGATTTTGTATGGGAATAAATAATGTTGAAATTTTTAGTGCTTTTTAATTTTTATTTGATTTTTCATCATTATTTATAAGCTTATTACCTATCATTTAAAGATAGAGTTATCTATATATTATTCATAATTAAATCGAAGAAAACTATGATTGTACAAAGTAAAATTCTAGAGATATTTCATTATTTATATTTTGGTGAAGTTTAACATGATGATAATATTAATATAATGAACTAGTATTGCTCGCGGCTCCGCCCGCGTTCAGATGACCAAAAGCCAAATTCTTAGGTTTTACATATTAGTTTACTCTTACATTGCAGTTTTTGTAGTTTTTTTCAGAAATGAGATATTTTCCAGCGGTAAAAAGTATCCTATATGTTGACTGGGATAACCAGCTATCACCATACCAAATTTCATCAAAATCCCTCCAGTGGTTTTTCTGTGATGCGGTAACGGACGGACGGACAGACAGACAGACAGACAGACAGACAGACAGACAGACAAAAACTCGAAAAACTATAGATGCAGACTCTGTATCGATAATTATGTCTATTTTAATTAGATTTTCGAAAAAAATATTAAATGTACAGATTCGCCGTAGTAAAATTTTATTATATGTATAGATAATGGTAATTGTTTTGAATAAATAAATATGTTAAATTAAAAAAAACGAATTTTAATTTTCCAGTACAAATCGAAAATTTCATACTTTGACCCCTATTGTTTACCTATTAGACATTCATTTCTTAAAGCATTGTCAGACTATACAACTTATATATTTAAAAATAATTTACATACTTTTATATTATGAATTATATTATACTAGCGGCTCACCCTAGTTTTGCTCGGGTTCGCCTCTAGACAAACAAAAACAAATTTATCCCACGGGAACCGTACATTTTTCCGGGATACAAAGTATATATGAGATTTTTGTGTACTAAGCTGTATAAGTTACTATAGTTTTATTACTATCCCACGAGAACTCTTTAATTTTCCGGGATGAAAAGTATCTAAAATGTTGACCGAAGATATAAGGTACCACCATGCAATATTTCATTCAAATCGGACCAACAGTTTCGGAGATTAGCCCGTACAAAACATGAAAAACAACAGGACAGAGGCAAACAAACAAACAGACAAAATTATAATAACTATTGTTTTGGGGTCCTATATTGTGTACACAAACACATAATACGTTACAAAGAAACATACACAAATCTATCCCACACGAACCGTACATTTGTCCGGGATAAAAAGTAGCCTTTTTGTTATTGTGATGTAATCTGAACTCTATTATTATAAAGTTTCATTAAAAATCTAATGAATAGTTTCAGTGTACTAAGCTGTATAACTTATTATAGTTTTTTTAACTATCCCACAGGAACTCTTAATTTTTCTGGGATGAAAAGTATGTAAGATGTTGACCAGGGATATGAGGTACCACTATGCAAAATTTCATTTAAATCAGTCCAATATTATTTGGATATTAGCCCGTACAAAACAGACAAAGAAAAAAAGAAAAAAAATACAAAAGACAGAAAAAAAAATAAAAAAAATAAACTGCTTTTGTTCTATTTCTCTTCTTACGTCCCCCTGACTCGGTTTTGAGCATTTTTTTCTATGTACAGACCTCTACAGTTTTATTATAATGATGATGATGATGATGTTCTCCTGGCCGATTTCGGCCACGGCGGCCAATCTCATTGAGACTAACCAACTGCGCAGGAGATATTATAGTGCACAAGTGTACGCGCAGACACAAGTGCACTCTCTATTCCTATCATTCTCATACTCTGGTGGGACGGACCAACTGCTCGACACAACCAGTGGGAGTTAAGGGCGCAGGACAGACGGCTTTACGTGCTTTCCGAGGCACGGGGGTGAAACACCGCCAACTTCCTAACTCCGGGCTGTTACTGAAGCTTATTATACAGAAAGACCCAATAACTAAACTTGACCGGACCCGGGACTCGAACCCAGGACCTCCGGGTGTGCAGCCGTACATGCTAGCCACTACACCACCGAGGCAGTTATAATATAGACTATTTTATTTATTATAATATAGACTAGCGGCTAACCCTCGATATGCTCGGATTCGCTACTAGAAAAGCACAAACAGCTCTATCCTACGGGAATCGTTCAGTTTTCAGGGATAAAAGTAACCTGTTGTTTCACCGGCAAATATTTAAGTATCAGAATGTCACATTTTACTGAATTAGGTGCATAAGTTGCTATGTAATAAGCTGTATAAGTTACTATAGTTTTTTAACTATCCGCCAGGAAAGTCTTTAATTTTTCAGGAATGAAAAGTATCTAAAATGTTGACCGGGGACATAAGGTACTTCCATACAACATTTCATTTAAATCGGTCCAAACAGTTTCGGACAAATTCAGCCCGTACAAAAATGGTTAAGATTTAACTAAATAATGAACTAAAAAAACCAAAACAATGTTCGACGTGAGTTTTTAAATTGGCATAACTTTTTATTTATGTACCGGATTGACATGAAACAAACACTACATGTTAAGTGAAGCTTATCGCAATATATAAGTGAAAAACCCACATCTAAATCAGATAACCCGTTTCTGAGATTAGCGTGCACAAGAGCAAGAGATAAACAGACAAACAGATAAACAGACAAACAGACAAAAATTCTAACAATCATTGTTTGGGTGTTATTTGCGTTAATAAAGGTCCCAATAATATTTTTTCTCATATATCTTCTAATGTACAGACAGCGGCCCGTTACATTTTTATTATAATATGTATAGATTACTAGCGAGTCACCATCGCTTCGCACGGATTCGTCCCTAGGGTATGTACCCTATGTACTGTATGTAGTACTGTTTGTAGGGTAACTTTCCTATTTGAATCGGATATTATTAAATTTTTCATTGGTTTT